TAAATTATGCAAATTACATCCATATTTGCATAATTGTCACATAATTTTATTAAGCATCACGTAAGCTTCCTACATACCAAAAATCACGACGATCCGTCAACTGGTTCTTGAGTTATCCCCTTTTGAATATTTTCAAGAAAATATCCCTGCAGTTCCAGAGCAAGCCGCTAGGGGGCCTAAAATCATGTCACTTCTTCCCCATCACAAGAGCTACCTACCATCTAAATTTCATCACCATAGCATGTGTAGATCATGAGATATCAAAACCGGAAGTTCAGCTGCAGTACCGTAACAAGCCGCTGGGGGGTCCAAAATCTAATCATTTTGAGGTCTCATCAAGACCTACCCACCTACCAAGTATCAAGACAATCCATCAAGGCCTTCTCAAGTTATCGTGTTTACAGACAGACAGACAGACAGACACACACACACACACATACACGAACGCCCCTGAAAACATAACCTTCTTGGCGAAGGTAATAAAGGGGTGTAACAATCACAGGAGATACATGTAATAAACATACACACATAGTTAACTTCCCGAGATGACTGTCTCAAAAAGTTAAACAACTGACCTGTTAAACACCTTCCTCTCTAGTCTTCTTCTTGTTGTGTTCTTGACTTTCTTCAGGTCTGTGAGGTTAGTAGATTTCTTGCCCTTCCCTTTGCCCTTCCCTTTGCCCTTCCCTTTGCCCTTCCCTTTGCCCTTCCCCCGGCCCCTGACATTGCCCAGAGCGATGCCAGTAGCAGCCTCGATGTCCTGCTGAAGCTCAGGGTCCCTCCAATCCTCCGATACTTCTGTTTCTAGAAGGAAGATTTGAACTATCAGTTTGAAGGAGACAAACACAAAACTTTTCCCATCATTTTCATGCATTCTTTCTAACCAATAAAAGTGTCATTCTTGTGACAAGTTTCTCAACTCAATGACATACGCTCCAATACTTCGTGGTTGCACTGACCCAAACATGACAAGGCAGAATATAAGCTGGCAGCTCACTATGCGGTGACACTATAAAACGTATTGAAAGTTTCCAGATCCGGTGAATTTGCAGGCAATATGGTGGCGATGGTTGTGGCTCGTGAGTATGATTTTGGCCCAGATATCAAGTTCAAACCACCATCAGGAATAGTAACTATGATGGACCAGTGCAGTGTTGCAAAGAATGATTTTTGGATAAGTTCCCTGGAGATCTCCAGTCTGGTGTTCCCTTGTCTAACCCACCTTCCAGCTGCTGTTCCCTTCTCCTCCTCTCCTCCCTTTCTGCATCTGCAGGGTTGGAGGGTTTCCCTGTCTCGTCTCTCGGGATTATGGGACCATGGAAGGGGCACTACAACAAGAAATCAGATAGTTTAGATTTCTTAGAAAGTATTTTGTGTTTCTGTGACCTACAAATCCACCCTGTTTCCAGTGTCTGACCTTTTAAACTGACACCATGCATATCAATCTTCCCCCCGCCCATGTGCTGTCAACCTACTCTCAAGTTCATCTCTTTTCCTATGTCTGACCTTTTCACCTTATTCTGAATGTGCTGTCATCCTACTCTGTGTGCACAAACAAACAAACACACACACAAACAAACAACCCAAAACAGTACTTCCTATTGTCCATTAAAACTGTTGTACTACAATAAAAGTGTTCCTACTTATGATAGGAATAGCCACACCATGCACATGTACCTTGTATCTGTCCATCCTGGGACAGAGCTTCCCATTGGACAGTGGGGCCTTACATGTCCACTTGACCGGCTCAAACTCCCCGGCAAACGTGATGGTTCTCTCTCGAGACGGGTCCACACGATTCACCTCAATTTCACCCTCATCAGACGGACGCCAGAACCTGTGCAGGGACTGGTCCCTAGTGAAGAGAATCAACCATCAATATTTCAATGTTTATAATATCTTATATTTGCAAAATCATGCCTGAGGGCTAACAATACGAACCTTTAAATTCTACTTGACAAAATCATGCTTCTGGCAGCCCTTGCACTGGATAGGTCCAATACTAGTACGTCCCTGGTAGCCAGAGATTGTGTAACACAGGCTACCTTACCTGTTTCATAGTGGAAAATCCAAACTTATTCTGATTTAAGGGTCAGAAAAAGATTATCACATCTTACCTCACAATTGTAGGTTTTTTTGCCTTCTCCCCCCAGGTGTACAGGTCCATACCAAAGGGCACCACAGGAGCCTTCGACAACAAGTCCGTTTTACTGGAGGATGTTCCTGAGGTAGATGGTTGGGCATCAAAGCTTACTTTCCTTTTTTCTCCCCTGAAATTAGTGAATTGTATGTAATACATGTACGAATGTAATGGTACAGAATAGGTACATAAACTACCACACCACAAGCATGCTATACTGCAAGCACATGTAAGATCCCACCACACATATCAAAAAGAGTAGGGTCCATCCAGGTGTGAGTGGTTCAAACCCCAGCGCACAGACTAGACCTTATTCTCTGATTTCTGGGCTGACATCTTGGAAAGGTAATACAACTGTTAATTTCTCATTATTTCTGTTGTCCTTATTGTCTACTGGTTTTATGTATCAGTTTTGTTGTCATGCATGTGGGTCACAGATTTTGTTGTGCCATGATTTTGTTTTTCTATCTTAAAATGAATAAAAAGAAAAAACTTGAAAAAAAATACAACTGTAGTCAACTGTTATGTTAATCCTTTCACAACTGTGATAAATCTCAATGAATATATTAAATAAATGCTAACCTGTTTTCCTGGCTAGGCTGAAGTGTAGACAGTGCTGCACTGTAGGAGGTTGGGTCAGAAGGGTTGTTGTCTTCACTCAAGAAGGGATGCCAAGATTTTTTGGTGGGCGGTTTTGTCCCTGAAGTTGTAGCAGTAGAAGCAGCAGGCACTGTTCTTGGTTTTGTAGCACTTGGTTTAGTCTTTGTTTTTGGCTTGGCAGGTTCCAGACCTAATAAACAGGAATGAAGAGATTATGGTATCCCTTTTGATTTATTTACAGTATTTCAGTTTTATTAAACCAAAGTGGCATGGTACTGCTTTACATTGGGACCA